CGTGCGCTGAAGAATGAAGCTGTATCCATGTAATTCAACATATTGGTTCGACCGTGATGGTCTTGTGCTTGTATTCTCACTTCAAAAGCATAACAGTATATTTAGTGAAACCGGAGTTTACAATCACTTGTTGAGAAAGTTACAACATATTAGTATTGTGATATGTTTTGATGTTTTGATCGCAGAGAAGTTTACGCGTAATGCCAAGAGCATTCAAAGCCAGATTGGCGCATGTACGGGTTGGCGGAATGATTCCGGAAGGAATGCGGAAGCCAAACGTCATTATCATCTATGGTGGCGGAAATTCGTGGAAGGTTGGCGGAAGGATTCCGGAAGGAATGCGGAAGCCAAACATCAACATCAATTATGGTGGCGGAGATTCACGGAAATTTGGCGGAAGGATGCGGGAGTAGAACAAGAGATGAACATACATTTCGTGGTCGAATTTTCGAAACATGGCCCAACATGTGTCAGTGGGCCAAGGGCATCCAGAGGCCAAGGAATTATGGCAGGGTGGTGGTGAACATTTTGTGCCAGCATTTGTTTGGGGCCTGGGGGGTGGGGCGCACGCGCGTTCAGACCATTTGGACGATCGGAAGCTCCGCAGAACTCATCCCCCAGCATTGATCACCCATAGTGCAGAAACGAGCGATGCTAAGGTTAAGTCAGGCATGTCTTTTTACAGGAGGAAGATGAACAATTGCCAAACATAGTCGGGGGACGATGTTTAGACTATTTTGGATTATGCTTGAAATATGTTTCGACTATGTTTCATTTTCGCCCAAAGCCCTCCTGTATGGGGGTTACGCACGACCTGATGCCAAGATGCGTTGCCCCTGGGCCGCGCGGCCCCGCGAAGGGGGGCCGTTGGATAAACTTGGACCACCCAGAGGGGCTCGTGCCCGGGCGCTACCACTGCTTCGGCGACGTCAATGCGGTGGTGCTCCCCAGCGGCACGGGCGTGGGCCGCGTGGGTATGTGGACGGCGTGGGACGGCAAGGGCGCGGAGGGCAGGGCTTGCGGGGCGGGCCAACTGCGCCGGATGGGGCTTCACGAGCTGCTGCCCTACATTCGGCCGCACGTAAGGATGACCACTTCGCAAAAGTTAGTTGGTTCTTCCTCACTTCTTTTCTCAATGCTTACTGAGTTTGTATTTTTCTGTCGGGGCCGGAGCCACCGCTTAGACCCTCGCGTCCCCTGGGACGAGTAGGAGTCGTGTCCGTGTCTGTGTCCAAAGGGGTGCTCCGACTGTTTGTTGAGTGGGATTCACGGTGTAGTGGCTTGCGCGCTTGGGCTTGGCCTCGATGGTTCTAGGGGAGGCTTCGTGCTACGCGCAGGCAGCCCTCCCAGGTGGTCTTGGTTGGCCTCAGCAGGCCCGTCCACGTACTCTCGGCTGGCCTCAACAGTGCCCCCGTGTAGCCCGGGGCGCTCTCAACACCTGATCCCTGGGGTGCGGAGGGCCTCAGGGGCGCCGCCACAGGCGGCGCCAGGGTCTTGAGACTGCCCCGGGACTAGCTCTGGGGCTGTCTATGCGCAACCTGAAGCCTTACCCATGGTCCTCCTCAAGCCGCGCACCAATGCTCACTCTTGCCAGTGGTCACTCTTGTGCGTGGCCGGTACCTCTCCGCGGAGGAAGAGGCCGCCTTCGACTCACGCCGGGTCTCCTCGTCGGGGGGCGGGGTGAATGCGTCGCGCTTGGTCGTCGGTGGCTGCCTCGCGCTCGTCGGCGATTCGGCCACCTCTTACGTCGAGACTAGCTTCGGCCAGGGCGGCGCGAACCACGGGCTGGAGATGGCCGCATCTCTTTCTGATGCCCTCGCGGCTAGGGGCGGTGGCAGCTTGGAGGAGACGCTGCGAGCGTGGAGCGAGGCTCGCATGCCTGACGAGCTGGCGTTCGCTCAAGGCAGGCTCGGGGAACCTTGGGACACGGCGCCGTACCGCGAGTTGTTCGCAAAGGGCAAGGGGAAAAGTAACGGCAAGCCGGGCAAGAGCATCGGCAAGGAAAAGGGCGGAGGCAAAGGAAAGGGCAAGGAGAAGGACAAGAAGGGCAAGGACAAGGAGAAGGGCAAGGGCAAAAACAGGGGCGGTGGTGTTGGCGCTGGTCAGGCTGCAGCCGATCTTTCTCTCGGCCAGCGCATCTCGCGCCGCATCTGCCCGTCCCGAGCGCAGTGGACCAAGCTTTCCTCGAAGAAGACAAATCTTCACAGACAAATTTTCGGAGGCCCGCGCGGCTTCCTTGGATCGGCGCTGGAGCCCCCCTCCCCCAGCGCGCGGAGCCTGCCTAGGGGTGGGGGGGGTGGCTGGAGGCGCCGCGAGGGGGGCCCATCGCAGATTTCAAGAGCTCCGCTTGGGCGTCCGAGAGTGTCCCTGCCGATGCGATGTGTCTTCTTCTGGCGCAGGCGATTTTACCCCCCCCCAGCGCCCGACCTCTCCAAGAAACGGAGGGGAACTCCGGGACACGACCCCAGGGTGGCGGTTCGGGCGCACCCCTGTCGAGGGTGGACCGCCCCCCCGCCGTGCACCCCCAGGCGTCGGGCCCACTCTCGGAGGCCTAGAGGTTAGCACCAACACCAATCTCGGCGGTGTGCCTTAACCGAAGGTAGACGATCCTGATCTTGGTGATGGTGGTAATCTTCGGGTGCCTAGGTGGCCGAAGTATATCACCACCAGCACCGGAATCTGGGGTCCTATTCCCCGGAGGAGGTGTAACCTTTTTGTGTTGGTGTTGGCGTCCCCGCAAGTCTCGACCCATTCCCCAGGACCAGTTTTTCATCCTGAGTCGTTTTTCCCTACATAGGCTCTGCCTAGAAGGGTTCTTACTCTCTTAGCTTAAGGGGCCGGGCAGCGTAACACGCCCCGGGCGGTTCCCCCGGTCCCCGCCCCGCGGTTCCCCCAGTCCCCTGAGAGCTTTAGCTTTAGCTTTAGCTTTAGCTTGAGCTTAGCTTCAGCTTAGCTTTAGCTTAGCTTCAGCTTAGCTTTAGCTTAGCTTCAGCTTAGCTGTAGCTTAGCTTTAGTTTAGCTTTAGCTTGGCTTTAGCTTAGCGGCACCTTAGCTTTAGCTAAGCTTTAGCTTAGCTTTAGCTTCAGCTTTAGCTTAGCTTTAGCTTAGCTTTAGCTTAGTTTTAGCTTTAGCTTAAGTTTAGCTTAGCTTCAGCTTAGCTTTAGCTTAGCTGTACATTAGCTGTGTCTTAGCTTTAGCTTAGCTTTAGCTTAGCTTTAGCTTATCTTTAGCTTAGCTTTAGCTTGGCTTTAGCTTAGCTGCACCTTAGCTTTAGCTTAGCTTCAGCGTAGCTTTAGCTTAGTTTTAGTTTAGCTTTAGCTAAGCCTTTACCGTAACTTTAGCTTAGCTTTAGCTTAGCTTTAGCTTAGCCTTTACCGTAGATTTAGCTTAGCTTTAGCTTATCTGCACCTTAGCTTTAGCTCAGGTTTAGCTTAGCGGTAGCTTAGCCTTAGCTTAGCCTTAGCTTAGCTTTAGCTTAGCTTTAGCTTAGCTTCATCTTAGCTTTAGCTTACCTTGAGCTTAGCTTAGCTTAGCTTTAGCTTAGCGTTAGCTTAGCTTTAGTTTAGTTTTAACTTAGCTTTAGCTTAGCTTTAGCTTTACTGTTCGTACTAATGCTGCTTTCCTAGGGGCTCCAACTCCTACGTAGGGTCGCACTGGGATAATTTGACACTCCGGGGTTCCGGCGAGGGCCGCTAGAGGCCGAACATCGAGAAGAAAAAGGTCCCTCTGGATTGTTTCAATGTGTTGGAGGTTTTGGGCATTCGACAACCCCACGGAAGTCGGGCGCGGGGGTCGACACCCCCTGCGCCTCTGCCTCTGCCCCAGCCGCGGCCCCGCCGCCGCCCGCGCGCTCCCCCCGCGGCGCTGCCCCGCCGCCCGCCTCGGGCGCCGCGGGGGGCGCCGCGCCGCCGGCGGCCCGGGGGCTGCCGCCCGCGCTGCCCGCCAGCCTCGGCGGATGGGCCTGTTGTCCACCAACCACCACCATGAGTTGGAGGGGGGAAGGAGGTGAAGTACGAGGAGGAGGAGGAGGAGGACGACGAAGAGGAAGAGGAGGAGGAAGAGGAGGAGGAGGAGGAGGAGGAGGAGGAGGAGGAGGAGGAGGAGGAGGCCTCTCTCCCCCTCCAACTTGTGGTGGTGGAGGTGGAAAACAGGCCCATCGTCGGCGGCTTCGCGCCGGTGCAGCTGGTGCTGTACGGGGACCTGTTCCTGAAAGACGGATGCGCCTCGGGGCGTGCGGCGGCCCCGGGGGAGCAAGAAAAAGGTGCCGATGATTACGGCCGTGCCTCCCTCGCTGTCGCCTCGTGGGGGCCCCCCCCGGGGTGCCCTCGTCGCCAGGGCCGGATGCGCCTCGAAGTTCTGGTCCGAAAGCCCCTCGGGAGAGGTACGGGAAGTAGCGGGATCGGTATCTTTGTTGTTCTTCCAAGACGTGTGCCAAGGCCTCCGACGTACTCAAACGTACAACCTGGAATTTTGCTCGTCGTTTTATGCCTCCCTGGGCCCTCGCTGGGCCCCGTTATTATTAAAACAACCATTTGGGCTGAAAAGTTGGCCCTGGGGAAAGGCTCGATACTCCCGGGGCCCGCATTGAGGAAGTCAATGCATCGGATCTGTGGGTGTTGGCCTGGGTCCCCCCCAGTGGCACGAAGCTGACCGCGACTTTTTGCGTCGCGGCCTCGGCCAGAGATGTTGCCCTTCTCCAAGAAGGCGGAAGGAGGGCGCGAGGGCGCGAGGATGATCGCGGGGCGTGATGGTGGCACCTGCGTTAGGTCGCCCAGTGCACGTTCACGGCAGGCTCGTGTCGTGTCGGCACGGCGGCGGCCCCAGCGCGGGTGTTCTGGGCTGAACGCCGCGATTGTGGGCCAGAGTCGGCCATCATCGAACGATCCTCGCTAATTATGGGGACGCCAAATCTGTTCCAGGTTGAGCGATCCGCGCGGTGTCAGAAGCCAGCGCGCGGGTCGTTGAGACACGAGCTCGCCGTGCTTTGTTCAGCTAGACCGATAGCACGCAGCCTGTGTCGGCCATCACTGCGCCGCCTGCATTTCATTGAGGGGCTTAGGTGGACACGCACACGTCGGCGCTCACCCGCGTTCTGAGGATCATCGGACAGATCGGGGCATCGGGGACGATGATTGCGTGGCGATCGCCCCACTGCTGGGCCAGAATCGGGTGCTGCGGCAGCTCCATATCTCGGACGGCTGGCAGGGGTGACCTTGGCCACACGTGACCCCAGCTTCTCCAGGCAGGCTCAGGTGGTCTCCAGAGCTCCAGGCTTCCCCGAGGGGGCCAGAGTAGATGCGGTCGGAGGATCACGCGGCATCGGCGATGCGGCGCGATCTGCAGACCGATTTTCTCCGTCCCGACGTCGCCAGTGCATCGCGGGTGCACCGGCGATGCATCGGCGACGCGGTGCGATCCTGCGATCTTCCGACTCCATCTCATCATGCTGGACCCATTTTTGTGAGGCTTCACAAAGCACCCCCCTCCAGAGGCCCCGAGGGATCCCCCCCAGAAAATCACATGGCCTGAAGGGCACCTTGGGGCCAGGATCACCTCCGCCAACCTCCGTCGCGTCGGCCACAACTCTCTCGGCGACGTCGGCGCCGCGGCGATTTGCCGGGCCCTGGCAGACGGTGGCTCCCCGATCGAGCTCCTGGGCCTCCGACGCTGCCAGATCGGAGACGGCGGCGCGGAGGCGCTTGCCGAGCTGGTGCGTGCCAGCAGGAAGCTGGCGCACGTGGACGTCGACCAGAACCGCATCGGGGACGCCGGCGCAGAAGCCCTGGCCGCGACGCTGGCGGAGTGCCCCTCCCTCCGTCACCTGTACAGCCCGAGGGGCAGGAACATCGCATACAGAGGAGACCCATGCCAAGGAGCACCCTGCTTGCCTGCAGGGTGCCCTGGGTTTCTTGGGTCTCGATGGTTTTGCTGTGGAAAGCGCGACGTTCCCAGACCACAAGTCGATGGACGTCCTGGGGTCTCGGGCTTGGGCTTCTTGTGGGAGGTCTCTTGTGGACTGGCCTCCACTGTAAGCATCACCTTCCGGAGGTCCGCGCGGATTTCTTGGATCGGCGTTGGGCTCACCGGCGAGGGAGAGGGGGTGCAGCGCCGCTGCAGGAACTCCGCGTGGACCTGCGAGACGGTGTGTTCTGGTTGCCCCTCCCACGTCGGGGGCAATCGCATCGGCGACGCTGGGAGGTCGAAGCTGGCAGACGCTGCGGGGCCCGATCTGCAGGTGCACTTCAGCCGGTGAGGCCCTCGGCCCAGTCACTCTTCGGGGGCTGAGATTCGGCGGCGACGCGTGTGGCGAGCCCGTGCGTGGCCGTCCTCCAGTCCCCTTCCTCCTCCTCCTGCCTCCTCCTGCCTCCTCCTGCTTCCTCCCCCGCAAGGAAGACCCGCTGCTGAACCCCACCCTTCAGTCGGGCCTGCCCCTCTACAGGAGGAATATTCTAACTCTGTTAAAACATAGTCCAGGGACGATGTTTTGCTACTATGTTTGTCTATCGTTGACCACGTTTGATTTTTCGTCCAAGAAGTGGCCTGCAGGAGCACAGGCCCGACCTAAAGTCAACGCGCATAGTAAGGACAGGACGCGCGCCTTCATCTAGGGTACCCTTGTGTCCTTGCCTCTGAGGCCCGTCCTTGCCATTATCACTGGTCGCCCGCCGCCCTAAAAAACCCAACTTCGGCCTCCAAGGGTCTTGCGTCCTTACCGCCCGTCCTTAATGTACGTTTGGACTGTAAGGCCAGTGCGGTGTGCCTCCACCGAGGGAAGAACATCCCGATCTCGGTGATGGTGGTGATATTCTGGCTTCCAAGGTGACCGAGATATTACCAAGAACACCGAAATCCAGGATCATCTTCCCCCTGTGGAGGCAACCCCCTGTTTCGGTGTTGGTGCCCATTTCCAGGCCTCCAACATGGGGGCGCGAGGCCGACGGGGGCCACGCCGTGCCGCGCCGCGGGGCCCCGCCGTGCCGCGGAGGGCGGGGCGCGGCGGCCCTCTTCGGCGACCTCCTTGGGGGCGAGGGCCGTGCCGTGCCGTGCCGGGCCCACGGGCGTGCACGAGCCCTTCGAGCAGGGGATCGACTGCATAATGATTTTGCCTATGTATAAGTGGATGTATATATATATATATATATACACATATATATATATGTATTACACCACATTTAACAATACAGTCAACGCGCATAGTATGGACAAACGACTTTTTCAAGGGTGCCCTTGGGTCCTTGCTTGCCTCAGCCTCTGCGGCCTGTCCCTAGCAATTTTCGCAGGCCAGCATACTTCAACTTCGACCTCCAAGGGTCTTGCGTCCTTACCACGCGTCCTTACTATACGTTTTCACTGTACACTGTTCAATATATACAAACATGTGTATATCTATATCTATATATATGTAGATGAGGACACACATACCTATGTTACATTGAAGGTCTCGGAATATGTCTTATGTGCTTGCTTGCTGCAGCTCAGCTGAACCTACCAGCCGTCCTACCGTGCTTTAGGGCAGGATTGCTGGACAGAGGTTGGGAGTGGCCAGCCCGACGTGCAAGCCGGCTCGATGCCGCCATCTCCTTATCGGCCGAATCTGCGAAGAACCCAGACTGCTCCGTAGACCTACGGAGCATGTTGCGCACTTCTCGCAGATCCGACCAGAGAATCAAATTTGGGGTATAGCAGTCGATGCCCTGCTCGAGCCCTGGCTCGCCTTGGGGGGGACGGGGCCCGAGGGACCCGGGTCCTGGGTTCTCTTCCTCCGTTTTCCGGGCCCTCTCGGGGCCCCCTCCACCGGTTCCGGGACTGGCGGGACACGACTCGGCGACTCGGGACGGGAGCTCCTCCGCGGGGAAGGCACCGGGGTCCAGGGCTCGCTTCCCTGAGGACCCGTTTTCCCATGCTGAGAAACGAGAAAGATACAGCAGCATCCATGTTCGGAGGTCAGCGCGGACTTGCCGCATCGGCGCTCGGCTTCGCACCTGACGCGCTCGGCGCGCCAGGGAGGGGGGCCCAGCGCCGCTCCGCGGACCTTCGAGAAAGTGTTTTCCTCCACTGGTGGCGCTTCGCATCAGCTCACCGATCCCCATCCTTACCAGCCTGGAACATATCCCCATCCCTATGCTGGGCACCTCCTCATCATGCTGCCAATCTTAGGGATTCCCTTTTTTTGTGAGGGCGAATCCCTAAGGTTGTCATCGCCTTTTGGCGTGTCAATCTTAGGGATAGGGATACGTTCGAGGCTGGTAACATCCCCATTGCGTCATGGGATCTCAGCCCCGCCAGCCCGTGCCCCCTGGTGTGGGGAGGGGCCCCGCGAAGCCCGACGGCAACGGCACGTCTACCCCCCGCCCAGGGGGCAGGCCGGCCGGGGAGGCCAAAGCAGTGCCAGTGGTGGAGGAGACCTCCTCCTCCTCCTCCACCACGCTCCTCCTCCTCCACCACCACGCTCCTCCTCTTCCTCCTCCTTCTTCTCCTCCACGCTCCTCCTTCTGCTGTTCGAAGAACAGAGGCCTGCCTGCTCGAGCAGCAGCTTTCGGAGGTGCGAGCGGGTTTCTCGGATCGGCGCCGGACGCCCGTGGTTGCGCCTCGGGCGCCGCCCCTTGCGCGCGCCGCCGCGCGCCAACGCCGATCCAAGAACTCCTGCACGGACCTTCGAGAGAGTAGTTCTAAGTCGGGCGTATCCATCTGAAGGAGGAATCTTCAAACACATGTGAAACAAATAGTCTGGGGACGATGCTTTGAGTATGCTTTGACTGTTTCGGGGTATGTTTTGCGTATGTTTCATTCTTCGTCCAACATCCCCCTGTAAGAGGACAGGCCCGACTTCAGGGTAGTTGTACTCGTCATGCCTCGTTCTTCGTCGGCGACCGGCACCTCTGACAGCGCCGCCGATCTGCAGCCAGCTTCCAATGTCCAGCCTCCCCTGCGGGTGACCAGGGCCCTGGTCGCAAGAGGGCCCAGCGCATGCCTCAGATGTTGGTGCAGGGTTTATAAGCCGGGCGTGTCCCTCTACAGGTGGAATATCCAAAGATAGTCAAAAAATAGTCTGGAGACGATGTTTTGGCTGCTGTTGTATATCTTAGGGGGGTATCTTGAGGGTATTTTGGATTTTTCGTCCAAAACTAGGGGGGCATGCCCGACCTAAGCCTAGCGCGTTTTTTCCCTGGTTCCTCATCTACACTGGGACTAACGACGACGTCGACGACGACGACAGCCTCCTCCACACGCCGATGGGTCGGCGGATTACCATACTTGCTGTTCGGATGATTCTTCCGGGAGGTCAAGTTTGCCAGGAGGTACGTTGGTTGCATTCCGTGCAGTGTTGCTCTGGGGCCGTTGAGCCCCTCCCTCTTCCTTGCTCTCGTCTCATCCTTCCTCATCCACCCTGCTATATTGTCAGGCCCTCCCTCTCCCTCCCCACTCTCTCTCAGCCTGCACCGCTTCTCCACTGACCTCAGCCTCCGTCACCCCCTGCAGGCCCCCAGAGGTTCCCAAGGGGATCAGGGAACGTGCTCTCCTCCCACTTCCCCAGAGAGCGCGCGGGAGCGCGCGCGGCGGGAGGAGGAGAGGAGGAGGGCGCGCGCGGGAGCCCGCGCGGAGAAGGGGTGTGGATGGAGGGAGGGGGGGGCGAAGGGAGGGAGGGCGAGGACCTCCTCCCCCCTCCTCCATACCCCTCCTCCTCCACCCCTTTCTACCTCTGCCGCCGAAAGCCCTGTAGAACGCTGGTCCTCCACGAGAGCCTTGGTGGCGGCCCCTTTTCTGGGGAAAGGGCGTTGGAACCTCGATACTCAATCCTCCCTCCCTCCCTCCCCCCCCCATTGGCCTCCTCTCCCTCCCTCCCCCCACTTCCCCTCGCAGGCCTTTGCCACTGCCTGGAGCACCTCTGCTTCATGGGCAGCCGCCTCTACCAGAAGGGCTAGCTGCGGGCCTGATGGACGTCCGTCTGCCCCGTGGTCGTCGTCCGTCGTCCGTCGTTTGCCGTTGTCGTCGTCGTCGTTGTCGTCGTCTGTGCCCTCATGCCCGTTCGTCGTTGACCAGGGCCCGAGGATCGAGGGTCAGATGGGCAAGGCGCCGAAGGGGGGGCCGCGTGGGGGCTCCGCACGGGGCGCCGGTCCTCGGGCCGGCTCCTGCGGGCCTGCTCCGTGGCCGAGGCTCGCGGTGCCCAGACAAGCCCACGCGCTCCATGCTGGGGCGCCCCCCGCGGCAGCGCGAGGGTCGCGTGAGAGTCCGTGGGAGGGCTGCCGTGCGAGCTCCGCGCGTGCGAGCTCGGGGCGTGCGCGCTCCGCCTCCCCAGGGAGGCCCAGAGGCCCGCAAAGGGGGGGGGGGGCCCCAGTGTGTGTGTGTGTGTTTGTGTGTTTGTGTGTTTGTGTGTTTGTGTGTTTGTGTGTTTGTGTGTTTGTGTGTGTGTGTGTGTGTGTTTGTGTGTTTGTCTGTGTGTTTGTCTGTGTGTCTGTGTGTCTGTGTGTCTGTGTGTCTGTGTGTCTGTGTGTCTGTGTGTCTGTGTGTCTGTGTGTGTGTGAGAGTTCGATCGGCTTTTGCACCGAGCAGGCCCCGACGGGTGCCCCCCAGCCGCCGGCAGCTCCCGATAGTGGCCAAGTGTCAGTATCGTTCAACCGACCCCTAGCCCCATCCCCGTCCACATCTCGAGCCCCACCGTCTCATCACCTCAGTGGGGATATGCCCCTCGACACCTGAAGAGAGCAGCCGATATCCCCATCCGGGGGGTACTCAACGGCCAGTGGGGGGCCCAGCCCACGCTGGTGGGCATGGGGAGCGGTTGAACGACTGTCAAACTGGTGGGGCCTGTGCATGTGGGGGCATCTGTTTGCGGCAGTCCGGTGCACCAGCGGATCGAGCTCACACCTCCTCTCGGGGCCACTCGACCCCCAGCGGTCTGGACCAATTCCCTGGGACCGATTTTTGGTCCTGAGTCGTTTTTTGACGGTCCCGAGGGCTGGTAAGGGCCCCCAGAGTCCAAAATTAATGAAGAACTTCCCGTCGTGATTTTTTCATGACTCGAGGGGGTCTGGGTTTGTGCGCGGCCGCGCCGGCGTCGAGGGCAGGGCCCTCGGAGCGGGGCCCGCGCGCCTCTGGCGCGGCCGCGCGCGGCACGGGCTCGCAGGCGCGAGGCGCCTTTCGGGGTGCTGTCGGTGCCTCTTCTGCTTGGCATCGCTCGGAAGTGTGCATCTTTCCTCCGGAGAGGACCATCCAGGAGCATCCGTGATCTTGTGGCGAAAAAGCCACGCACGAAGCCGAACAAAAACACACAATGAATGGACGTCCGAGCGAACGGCGAGTCTGGGCCTCGGCTCGGCGGCACCCCGGCATGCTTGTACGACAGGCGCATCGCTCCCCCATGGGGCGGCGCGCGCCCCGAGACATCTCACAGTATGCTTATGCGTGATGGCGGGCGCCTTCTGGCCACACCGCTCGGGGAAGGAAATGCTGCAAGATGGGTATACGAGACGTTCGGGTCGGGCGCGCGCCTCCAAAGAGCACATCTAGCATTAGTGTGTCTCTTTGCGCTCGGGGAAGGAATGCTGCAAGATGGGTATACGAGACGTTCGGGTCGGGCGCGCGCCTCCAGAGAGGACATCTAGCATCAGTATGTCTCTGTGCGTCCATGGCCTGCATCTCCATGGCGACGAACATTCCCTGTATCTCCATGGCCTTGCGGGCCAGGCTGCTGGGGCCACGACCCCCTTCCTGGGCCGGCGACGCCGCAGCCACGGGACGCTCTTGTTGCGGACGCCCCGCGCCGAACGTTGTGGCCGTGTATCCGCAGGATCGCACCCCATGATGCGTCCGCATCGTCGTCTTTCAGAGAGGAGCACTAGCACTGGCGCGCATGAGGCTGGCTTGCCAGGTCTGCAAAGCAAGCACGTAGCAAGCTGTAGTTTTGACAGCGGTGCGTGGTGAGGGAGCATCGACGCAGCGCGCACCCGAACCCTAGGCATTTTGGCCTGTGAGCCGCCTCGAGCGGCGTGCGTCGCAGCCACCGTAAGTTGCACCTCGATCCTGCGAAACAGCTGCATTGAATCGGAGAGGGAGGATAATTACAGTCGGGGCGCTCCAGAAGGAACCCTTTGCATTGGGAGGGGCTCCGTGCTCCCTAATTGTTTCCACAGTTTGCCCTCGGATTCCCTTAGGTGTTCGATGCGATATCGAAGTTGAACTCGTGAAGAAAAAGGGGCATCGTTCCTTACTTGGGATTCCCTGGGTCAACGCCCCGACGGTATCTCTGGGCTCAGGAGGGGGAAAAACACACACAGACACAAGTATTCGTCGATTCCCAGAACATATGCGAAAATATGGGAAGTGGGGGGGGGGAAAGACAGAAACCCAGAAAATATGGGAAGATCTGGGGAATATGTTTATGTGTGTGCATTTGTGTGTGTGTGTGTGTGTCTGTGGGCCCCTTCAGAGGCACGTCGTGCATGAGAGCCAGCCCGCCCGCAGGTGCCCCCACGGAAGCCGTCGGCCCCCGGTGGCCCTGCAGGGTCCAGAACAGCCTTTGCAGGGGGGCACCTTACAGCCAAAAACCCTAATAAGGCCGCGCGACTCTGCTCAGGGTACCCTTGCGTCCTTGCTCTTCCCTGCTCTTGCGTCCTTGAGGTCTTCGTCGTCCGCCGCCCCCAAAAATCCCAGCTTCGGCTTCCAGGGGTCTTGCGTCCTTGCCGCGCGTCCTTTATTAGGGTGTTTGACCGTACAGGGAGGCTCCGAGAGCTCGACGGCAGGCGTGCCGCAGGATTACCTGTATAGCGTGACTGCTCATCGTGCGCGTCTGCTGTGTGGGCAGGAGTGGACGCTGAGAGATATACCTCCTCCTCCTCCTCCTCCTCCTCTTCCTCCTCCTCCTCTTCCTCCTCCTCCACCTCCCTCCTTCTCCTCCTCGTCCCGAGGACGCAGCCGACGCGCGAAAGCTGAGTGCGCTCGAGTGGACGGGGGACGGGGCGGGAGGTGGGGGAGGCGGTCGCGTGCCACCAATGACACGAGCTCCATCTCAGGGCATGGGGATGCTATAAATTTCCGGGGAAGAGAAGAACTAACGAGGAGACAGAAGAAGACGACGACGACGAACGACGACGATGATGACGACGACGGACAACGGCGGATTTCTTCCTCGTTGACGACGGTCGTCGCCGAGGGAGGAGACGACGACGCGGGACGACGACAACGGACGACAAATCTCCTTGGCGACGACCGTCGTCGTCGTCGAGGATGGGCAGCAGGGCGAGAGACGACGACGTCGATGCACGGCGGTCGACGCGGACGGAGAACCGCGACGACGATGGAGGGCGACGGTCGACAGCGGACGGAGAACCACCACGACGAGGAAGGACGACGAGGACGACGACTACGAAGTCGACGACGACGACGTCGACGTCAACGGCGGCGGCGACGACGGACGACGCAACAGCACGCCGGGGCCGAGCCCCCCGGCGGCCCGCCGGACCTCGACTTCCTCGCGACGCGCCGCCCCCGGCCGCCCTCTCGCCGGGCCCGCCCGGCCGCCAGCGCCTCGGCCACGACGGCCGTCGTCCGTCCGTCCTCGGCGTCGCCGCCGGTCGCCGTTGTGTCGTCCGTCGTTGGTGGTCAATCAAGCAGTGGCGAAGCGTCCCAGCTCGCCTATAGCCCCACCAAACAATGTTCCAAGAACTGTCTGTGGTTCCCACGAATTGTTGTCTCAACACATCGGGCTTATGTTCTAAGAACATTGTTTTTGTTCTTAGAACATCTTTGGGTTCTCAGAACGTTTCGTGGTATGACAATAGGAATGCTGGGACCGTCGGCCCCTGCTCAAGTCAACGTCGTCACTGTCAGGCGTCGTCGTCCGTCGCCGCCGCCGTTCGTCGTCGCCCGTCGTCGTCCGTCGCTGCCGCCGCCGCGGGCGGGCTGGAGGCGTCGGCCCGCGGTGGGGCGTCGCTGGCCGCAGGCGACGGGCGGATGACGGCGGCTGCACGGCGGACGCACGGCCGGTGACGACGAACGACGACTGCGCACGGCAACGGGCGACGACGCACGGACGACGACGCGCCACGGACGAACGACGGCAGGCGATGGACGACGGCGCTCGCCGACGACGACGACGAGGCCGTCGATAGCTTGGGTTGGAAGCTTGCCCGTCGGGCCGCCCCTGAAGGGGTCTGGTCGCCACGGCTGGGCGCGGCTCCAGGAACTGGCCAGGTCGGACTACTTTCTTTGGGGGTGTCCGCGGATTCTGTGCAGGTTGCGGTCGGACGGCGACGACGATGGGCGACGATGACGACGAAGACAACGCCGACGACGGGCGACGACGACGACGACGGCGACGGCCGAAACCAGAGAGAGGTGAAGCCTGGGCACACTCGCGTAAGCAGTGCAAGTGTTCATGGCAGAAGGTTTCTGGCCGTGATCGGTTTTCAGCTGTGGCCCTTGCTGGTCCCCAGGGCCGTCAGAAACGACCGAGGATGGAAACAGCAAGTTCCAGGGATCCAGACGTCCAGGGGTCCATGCTGGGAGAACGTTAAGACAGCGGGGTTGTGGCTGGAGGCCTTGATGTGGCCAGAGTTGAAGGAGAGGGGTCATGGCCCCATGGCGGACCAGGGCTTGAAAAGATGCTGCGGAAGAGAGGGAACACCTTCGGAACAAAGTGCAACGCTCAGCTCTGACAGTCCGAAGCCTCCAGAAGCTTCCAGAGGTCAGGAAAGGGTCAGGAACTCAGGGGCCCCGAAATCATGCGATCGCAAACAATGGATCAAGGGCACAGGGATTAGCGACGGGTCCCGTTGCCATGGGACATCGCGCACTTCCGCCGTCGAACGAGCATTTTTCGCATTTCGCATTTCGCAGGTTGACAGCGTCCGGGGTGCGCGCACCGGCGCCCGGCCCTCGGAGCCGGCGCCCGGCCCCCAGTCGCTGCGACTCAGAACTGCCCGGC